TATTTTTATATATAAATATATATATTATTATATTTGCTAGTCCGGTAATACCACCGATATTACCGGTCGTACCGGTAATACCGCGTACTGGTGGGTAGACCGGTATGGCCACCGGTACGGTATTTAAAACACTGTTTTCTACCACCCGATTGGATGTCTGTATTGTTTTGCTCGCACACCGTGGGCACTTCACCACCACAAAAATTCTGTTTTTGCTCTACGGTAAACATCAAAACTAAATGCAAAAAATGGTTTAATCCGTTTGCTTAACATCCAACAAATTTAAGAATGGCGTGGACATGCTGCTGCTCCGCCTACGCCGCCGCCGCCACCGCCACTGCCACTACCACTTGTGCTGCTGTAGCTCCCGCCGCCGGAGCTCACAGTCGCCTCACCATTACTCTCAGAAAGCAGAATTTCTCCTCGCAGGTACGGTATTCGAGCAGTGCTAGAACTCGACTGCTTTCATCCAATATCAGAGCTAGGAGCAAAACTTCAGAGAAGGAACTGGAAATTGAGCCCTCGCCGCCGTCCGATGAGATTGAGTGTATAGGCACTGGATTGGACGTTGAGTGCGTGGTCAGTCCCAATGTTGATTCGTCTGTAAACCCTAACCGGCTGAGCGAGGAATCAGGTTCGGCTCTGTTGGAATTGGCGGGGGTTGCTTTGGAATGGGGTCTCCTGATATCCCCCTTTTTCTTCTGGGGCACGGCCATGGTGGCCATGAAGGAAGTCCTTCCAAAAACTGGGCCTTTTTTCGTAGCGGCCTTTCGGCTTATTCCGGCAGGGTTGTTGTTGGTTGGCTTTGCGGCTTCCAGAGGCCGCGGCTTGCCTTCCGGTTTCAATGCTTGGCTGTCTATATCAGCATTTGCACTCATTGATGCTTCCTGTTTTCAGGTTACTTTTTAGTGGGTGGGGTTTGTGTCAAAGAAGATATGTATTCTTTTTGTTCTTACTGGACTGATGGTTGGCAGGGTTTTCTTGCTGAAGGATTGGAGAGGACCACGGCTGGTCTGGGCAGTGTATGTTTGCTTAACCTTATTGGGCTGGCTTTTTATGGAATTTTTGTTATTGTAGTTTGTATTTGTATATGGTGTAGTGGATTCATATTCGGCTCGTTGAAGGTTCATAGTGGAAAGCAATGGATAGTAACACATTTGTCATGACTTGTAAATGTATCAGTTGCCTATATGCCGTTCACTTTGCCACACGCAGAAAAATCTGCTCAGTTCTTCTGACAATATTCACCATTTAGTTTGATAATATTTGAGCAAACTATTGCAGGTAATAATTGATTCTCAACCTCTGACTGTGGCTATTTTGGCTTCCTTATTCTTCGGAGAGTCAATAGGCTACATTGGAGCTGCTGGACTTGTACTTGGTGTCTTGGGACTTTTACTTCTTGAGGTCCGCCTTTTATCTTTGTTTACAACTCTGTATTTTTGCAAATAAGTCAGCTACTCAATGATGTAATCTGCTACTCTTGTTCAAGTTCCATTTATTATCTAATGTTCCTGTAGAAACAGGTTGTCGTACTCAATTTTCTTGTCATATATATGAAAAAGATTACTCTATACCCCCTAGAAATGTGACTCTTCAGTTTCTTCATAAGCCAGTTTTTACCCAGTTTCGTCATAATCTGTTTCATCTGTGCATGTTAGATGCAAAGTAGAATTAATTTGTAATGTTTATCAGTCTTGAACTCTTGATATTCTATATTTGTTCAAATGATTAATTATCTTTTCTCATTTCATTAATCAGAGATCTTTAGATAATTTTTTCCATGACAGATACGGAAGTAGTTGACTGGTGAAAATTACAGTACCAACACTATTAAGTCACTGTGCATTGTGGCTGTTAAATTTCTTGCATTCAGAAAATCGACTTTCCTAAAAAAATACTGCAGGTGAACATTTCTGGGTCCTGAACCTACAAAGTGACTCCTGTAATCCTGCAGGTACCTGCTCTTACATTTGATGCCAATAACTTCTCTTTATGGGGAAGTGGGGAGTGGTGGATGCTTCTTGCTGCCCAAAGCATGGCTGTTGGCACTGTCATGGTCCGATGGGTGTCAAAATACTCAGACCCTATCATGGCTACTGGATGGGTAAGATGAACACATTTTCACGAGTTTGAAATAGATATATCATGTTGCATCTGGTTGTTTATTATCCAACTGGAAGTCTATAATGATCATATGCCGAAGTGCCCAGGTGTTACCTTTAAATCTCATTATCATGGACCCGTGGTTAATCTATTACAAAAGTTATACATAGTCTGGTACTTTATTAATGTGAGATGATACCATCCTATTCTATTTCGACTATGGATGATCTGTCAAATAATCTCGTCCTCGGGGAAAAAAAGGAAAAAAACTGTATTAACCAAAGAAATTGTGCTTTCCAACATACTGTACTTCAACTTACAACACACAGGTGGGAATTCAGTTCATTTATTGTGCACTTACCGCCGAAGAGCCCTCCAGAAAAGATGATCTTGCAACTACCAGCGTGATTGCTTAGAAGTTTCATGCTTCAAAACCACATGTGATATAAACCAACAGTTGTAAGGTTATACAAACATTAAATTCATGCATATGTATGAAATTGGGAATGGGCCACATGTTTATAAGGGAGAATTAAGATAAATGACACATTAGGACACGACTCGTAGTGCAACATGAAAGGATGAAATCTCAAATCTATTTCAAATTGCACTGTACTGTTATTATCATGAAATGCGCAGATATTAAGAATCACGCAATGAAACACGAATATCTACTCTGGGTGCATGACATGAATTGCCACCTCTACCTAGAATGAAGTACTTAAAACCTACAATTGTTTAATATTCTTTTTTCAATAATATTTATTATTATTTTATGTTATCATATTCTGGTAACAAATGGTTGCATTTGCAAGAGGTAAGAATTAGGGTTGAATTACTTGCTTTCCAGCTGAAGCATTACACATTTAAGTAGGTTAGCTGCTGCTAGTGCTGGCAGGATACTTAGCTCCTCGGGGTTTGAATTGATAAATTGCATCATTTCGTGCATGAAACTGAAATAAACTTTCCTATATACTGGAGATTAGTTTTTATCTGGTGGATACATGACGGATATGCAGGGTATGTGGATTTGAACTTATTAGGGTGCAATTATGTATTCTGTAATTTTGAATTTTCTTTTCACAGCTAGAGAAAATGAACTGGAAAAAAGTAATAAATTTTTTGGGTGTGTGCTTGGGATAATTAAATTATGATGATGATGAAAGTTTACATGATTTTAGGATAATTAAATTACGATTGGATATGATTGTTATGGGAAATGTGCGATTGAGTGAATATTAAATAAAAATGATCGAGCAAAATCGGAGGGAAAGCAACGGTAGAAGAGATAAGAATGGGGAAGGGACGACCATCAGGTGATGAAGTACACTATAGAATTCTTGTTCCAGACATTCTCGTAAATCATAGCAGGCCTGGCAACTGCTCTTCGATATTGTAATTTTACATCCTTATCCAAGTTCTGGACCTTGAAAAGTTGGAGTTCTGCAAGAACTTTCTGTTTACACGCGAATACTGAAAACGTAACATAGGAGAATGTGATGTTAGATGCCTTGCATTGAAACAAAAAGAATTAGATGACTTAGGCTATTAAATGAACCACTGCAGCACATGGTTATTGGTGGTCTCCCGCTTATGACAATTTCTATTCTGAACCACGAAACTGCTATGTCGAGTTTTGATGAGCTTACAAATAGTGATACTTTGGCCCTTCTTTATACCTCTATTTTTGGGAGTGCAATCAGCTATGGCGTCTACTTCTACAATGCCACCAGAGGTAACTTTTTGTGCTTTTTTGATGCTGTATAATATTTTTTGATTTGTCACCGATGACTTTACTAGCTCTGTTAATTGCATCTTAGGTAGCTTGACGAAGCTCAGCTCCCTGACCTTTCTGACTCCAATGTTTGCATCAGTTTTTGGGTAAGCATTTAGAAACCAGAATCAAAAACTGTTAACTTCATTGTTGCATGTATAGCTATTATTTTCATATTAAATCTTGTTCTGCAGTTTTCTCTATCTTGGTGAGACCTTCAGCCCTTTGCAACTGGTTGGAGCCGTTTTAACTGTTGCAGCAATATACATGGTTAACTACAAAAACTAGGCAGAGCGAAAACATCAACTCGTCGCCTGTGATTTTGATTTTGCCTAAGAAAAACCTGATATTTGCTGGAGTATGGCGGCGGCTGTGATTTAGGATTATCTCCTGCGATGGATAAATGTTGATCATTAGTCCCGGGTATGGTGGTTCCAGAGTACTAGAAAGGAAAGCTCGAATTCTGAAGGATCGATTTGAGGTTTGTTCATGTGTAGCTGGCCTATTATCAGTACATAGAGAGAGAGAGAGAGAGAGAGAGAGAGAGAGAGAGAGAGAGAGAGAGAGAGAGAGAGAGAGAGAGAGAGAGAGAGAGAGAGAGAAATATAAAAGATTATGACCGACATTTAGGTGTATTCATGTTTTAGGAAAAAGATAAAGGAAATCAAGATTGTTACTGTTATACAGAAATTTGTATTTTTGGGTTGGCAAAAAAAAAATGTTTTACTAGTTGTATGACTACATGTGATATAAAAGCCAAACAAGATAGAATATTTTGCTCCTTATCCTATCTCAAGTGTTTCAAGTTTCAGCTCCTTATCCTTCTCAAGAATGAGCCACAAAGCAACCTAGACTTGAGTGACTATCCTTGCCAGTTATCACAAAATGTGCATTACAGTGCCAACAGCATGAATAATTTCACAAATATTAAATAATAAAATAAAAGGAATTGTTGTTCAATTGATTCAAAGTTCAACTCAGTTAACAAGAACAACAGAACTGGTGAAAATGAAACACAACACTACTAAAAGTTGCTACAAACGAAAAAAAAACAACCAAGAAACAACACATATAGATTTTAAGCAGCAGAACTATTGCCCGTCACGTGAGAACTTCGTGTGCCCAGTCGACCTCGCTCAATTCCGTTCTCCGAATCCCTCTTCTTACCGCCACTGGCCACTTTCTTCCCACTCTCATCAACTGACCCTGCAAGCCTCACAACTGACCTTGAACAAGAAGAAGACGAAGTCCACCTGTCGGTCGACTCAGCTGAATTCGGCTCCCAACCAGAAGATGATGACATCAGCCACTGGCTCCCGCTGGCAGCAGCGAAGCTATTACTTCCGGAAGATTCTTCCTCACCTGCTGCAGCATCATCATCCTCTTCCAATGAGCCCCTCCTCACCGTAACATACTTATGAAAGCTCGGCTCCATCAAATCGTCTTTAGCCACAATCTCCGACTCCAGAATAGGGTCCTTGGCCTCCCCAGCCTTCGTCTTCTTGAAATTGGAGCCTGTGCTGGAGTTGAGGTCTGCAACAGCCTCGAGAATCGAGCAGGCCTTGGTGACGCAAGGTGGGAGGGAGAAGGCGGGTTGATTGTTGTTGTTCTTTTGGTGGAAGTTTTGGATGTCTTCTAGAAGGAGGGCTGTGTAGTTGTTCGGGTTTGTGGGGTTGATGGTGTCTAGGTCACGGGACAGGCGGGAGGATCGAGAGCGGATTAAGGGTTGGGGTTTCGGGTTTTCGGGCCCGGACGGAGCAACCGCGTCGAGCGAGACGTGGCTCGGGATCCCTGGTGTTTCTAGTGCAGTTGGCTCCAGGTTCTTGTTATTTTTGGCCTCGGCCGCTTGGGTTGTTTTGCTGTCGGCATATGGCTTCTGGATCGAAGCCTTCGAGATGAATAAATGTAATTAGTTACATAGTTTGGAGTTTGGAAAGAGTGTATGGGTGACACAAACTAAAACCATACACATTATAGTAGCAGCTAAAATTGTTTGGAGGAGGATGTACCTGTGGGACAATGTTGGTGTCAATCTCAGCAAGTGGGTTTCTCCTGTAAGGTGAATGCTCCTTCCTCGAATTGCTCCGGCTAAGTGACATTATCTGCTGCTGGTTGGGGCCGATATTCGCATTCTGACCGTCGTTCAGACACCTCGTCCTCGCCGGAGACCTGGTGCGTGGGGACACATTCCTCTTCACTTGGATCCTTCTAACAGAGCCGGCCGTGGCTGCACCAGTCTCGACTCCGGCGGCATCCTGGCTCTTGTCCATAGCCATAGAGGACACCGTGGCCGGCACCGAGACCATCTTCCCTGGCCTCGAACAACCAGCACTGGCGCCGGCCGCAGATGAATTCTGATTCGAATTGGAATTTGCAGCAGAAGAAGAGATTGGGGATTCGGATCTCCTTCCCGGAGATCTGCTCACCCGCCGACTGCCGCCCCTTTCCCTGCTGCCGGAGCGCTGCTGTTGCTGCTCCCTCTCCCTGCTCGGAGTCCTCCGCCGCCCATGGGACTGGCGGCGCCGCTCCCCCTGACGGTCTTCCCTCTCCCTCGCCGCCGCTTCCCCACCGCCGGCGCCCTCGGCGTCGAAATCGAAGCTCCTCTTCGAGCCCGAGTACCTTCTACCCCCGCCGCCCTCCGGCGGCGGGGCGGCGCCGGCGGCGGCCTTACCGGAGGAGGAGCTCCGGCTGAGGCGGCCGCACTGTATGAGGATGGCGTCCACCTCCTCCTTGGTGCAGCTCGAAGTCCTCACGGAGGCGGCCCCAACAACGGCGTTCCCATTCCCCGCCACCACATTAGTACCCTTATCGACATCGGACTTCGCGTTTTCGCCGTTCTCCTCGTCGGCCGGCGGCCTCTGCCGCTCAATCTCGTGGCTTTTGCGGTGCCTGATGACAAAGATCTCTTTTTTAACCACATTTTCGTCTTCCGTCTTCTTTTTCTCCAAATGGGGCTCCCATTTTTGAAGGTTTTCTGGAGGTTTTTGGAGTCCGACCGGAGAAGACGACAGTGGCGAAGAACAATAAGCACTTTTCTTGCTCAAACAGCTCCCCATTTTCCCTCTTTCTTCCCACTCAAATTGCAGCTTAAGGAAAACAAAAAACAAAAATAGGCAGACTATAAACAGATGACAATGAAAGCTTAGGCCAGTGAAGAAAATTTCAAACAAAAAAGAAGCAAATTTGTGCAGAAAAATTTAAAAAGGGGCAAAAAGGCAAAAAAAGGGATACACAGTATTCAAGAAAACTACTCAATTAATAATATGAAAATAAAAGGGAGGTATGATAAAATTTTCAAATTTTAACTGCAATCAATATAGCCGTTAAATATTCAATTTATTTATTTTATTTATTTTATTTTTTATAATCTTTTGTTGGGAGAGAATTAAAAAATTAGAAAAAAACATTTATGTCAGATTACCTACCACTGTTTGAGAATTAAAAAAAAAAAAAAAAAAAAACTTTTATCCCTCACCGTTGAGTTTAAAGAGAAAAACCAAAGGAATCTTGATCCATATTTTTTGAATTCTGGACTAACGGTCAGATTAAATGGGTTTTCAAAATTATGAGGTTAATAATAATTCAAGTCTGATTTGAGTTTGTTTTGCAAGGAAAAATCGAGATTTAGAGTCGATTACCTATCGTTTTGAAAAAAAAAATAGTTAATTGGTGTAGAATTTGTTGAACCTCAACTCGGTTATTGTTCAAGAGTTCTATTTAATGCAATTGATCTTTAGGAAACAGACTGATTTTATTTTAGCCATTTTGGAATAGTTGAATTTAGAAGTGAGTTTAAATATGAGCTTACATATGAGCTTACAGCAATTATGTTTATGGATTTTAACTGAATAAGCACAATCTTGTTAAACCGTTCATGTTGCACCGGTCTTCTAGGATTATTAGTATGATCTATTTTCCTCCACATGGTGATATGGGGTACTATTAAGATATCTTTGATAGTTATTCTATGTTGTTGTCTTTTGTAATTAGATATTTGATTTAAGATTATGTTGATATGATTTTTATGTCTTGTAACTTTTATATATTTGTAATCAAACTCCTACCATTAATCAAAATACAATACCTTTTTTTTTTTTTTTACTATGTGACTACTCTCTCAATTTTAGCACGGTATAGAGCGGTGATTCTTTTCGCCGATGATCTGCCTGAGATTTCTTTTCTTTTCATCTCCACCGTTTTATCATGTCTTCAACCTTTGTTCTTCCCTCTTCTTATAAAACAATATCTCCTTATGATATCACCTCTAACGAAAATCCCGGTTGTATGATTTCTACTGTTTCTTTCAAAGATACATATTATGTTGAATGAAAATACAGAACAACAAGGCGACCAAACAAACGAAGGTTCTCTCCGGACTGCGCTCCAGGCACGAAAAGATTTTGGGTTCTTGTATGATTCAATTTTCCTCCACCCGATTACTCTCTTGTATTAGAAGATTGGTTTGTAAATAATTCAATGTTGGTCTCGTGGATATTGAATACGGTTCATCCAGTTCTTTAGCCTTCTATTCCTCATATTAAGATTGCCAAGGATCTGTGGGATCAACAACTGAGGTGTATGTAAATGAGTAGTATAGTTCAAATCATAGTTTTTAAACCCGGCGCGGTAATCGACCCGGGCAGGTCTCCGCGTCATTGGGTCACCAGTTCAACCGTCGGATCACCGGCCGAACCAGATATTATTTTTAAAATTTTTAAAGTTATATATAGAGTATTTTTGTCATATAAATATACATACAAGTAACAAAATTAAATGCTTTGTGTATAAAATTTGTATATTAAAGTGTTAATAATATGTATCTCATGATAAGATTTACTATACAAACATATATACATAGTTTTATTTTGAAAAAAATAAAAAAATATTAAAAAATATATATGGGCCGGGTCAACCGAGTTGACCCAGCCGGGTCAAGGCCGAGTTTTGACCGGGTTTGACCGGGTCCTTTGTTGCCCGGTCCAAATAGCCCAACCGGACCATTTCCGGCTCCGGGTCGTCCGGGTCCTAAGTCGACCCGCTAGGCCAGTCCGGGTCAAAAAACTATGGTTCAAATGATAGCAAGCATTTAGACACATAATTCTTGGAAGCCGCGACTGTTGACCATCATTTCTCTTGTTCTAGCCATTGTTCTAAAAATCGGCCTAGGCGGTGCCCGGACACCTCCGATTTGCACAAATCGGCAGAAAAAATCAGCCAGGCGGGTAGGCGGCGCATATGCGGCCCTAGACGCTCCTAGGCAGACTTGGCGGGCTCGGCGGCCAGGTGGTTAAGCGGCGCCTGGCGGGCATAAGCGAACCTAGGCGCTCCTAGGCGGGCTCGGCGGCAATTTTGCAGTTTTTTTTATTTTTTTTTTAAAAATATTAATTACATTATTTTATTTTCATATTTTTTTTAAAATATATTAATTTTATTATTTAGACTTAGGTGTGTCGATTTATTATAAGTTGAGATAATTTTATTTTGTATGTAGTTAAATAAATAAAAAGTAAGGTATTTAATATTGATTTCTAGGCCCCGCCTAGGCACTCTAGGCGCTAGGCGCTGGTCGAGCGCCTAGCGGACGCCTAACGACTTTTAGAACATTGGTTCTAGCCCAACTCGGGATAGGGTCAACAATCCCGACTTCCAACAATTAAGTGCCTAAATGCCTATTATCGTGTCTAAAAACTATAACAATTAAGTGGATGCAATTCAGAGAGAATAATTTAACATAGTCATATATCTTTCGAACTATACTACTCATTTACATCCTACTCGTAGTTGCTGAAGTTGTTCATAGCTGAAAACGGAAAGTTAAACCATGGAACGAGTATAACAATTGTACCATCATTTCGAAAAGTTGTTCGGGAGAAGTGTCCCATAATGGTATGTTGCGACCCACGTGACTTCATCACCGTCGTTTCTTTTTCGCATGCACCATGACGGGAACAGCCATTTTGCTCCCCAGATCCTCGCCATCGATTTTTGCTTCAACATATTTCAGAAGTTCACCGTCAAAGCAGTAACGCCAATTACGCTAATGATGTCACCCACAATCTCATTACGTATCATGTTTTCAACTCTCTTATACACCTATAATTGAACAATAAAGAGAATGCTCACACAAGCTGACATATAGGTTCTTCTAAAGTATGCATGGAATCATTGTTGTGACTAAGAGCGTGGCATCAACGACGTAATTGATGGTGTTGCTTTGATGGTGAACTTCTGAAATAATCTCATGATTTTCTAGCGTTAGGTTCTTTTGTTTTTTGTTTTTCAAAAAACAATTCCTTTTATCATTGACGGTTCAAGTCGGTTAAATCATATAGCCGGGCTGATTACGGGCCCATGTTTTGTAGCCCGATAACTCACCGGACCGGGTCGGGTCGTGAACCAGCTCACCATTTTGCCATGTTTAAAACTCATATAGCGCTTTTTGTCTTATTCATTATTCAAATGTTGTGTATATACTATCGCTATTCAAATAGTAAACCATTGTATATTGAAAAAACCCTTTCCATTAATTTTTAGTATTTATAATTTTGAGTATTTATACTAGACATCTTTAAAAGAATGTCTACGAGCTTGATTTGAATTTTTATTTCTTATTACATGTATCATTTTGCAACACATACCCCATTAATAAAATGAGCGAGTCCTACCACGTAGTGTAGCAAGAATGATTCGAAACCCTACTTAGCAAAAGCCTATGACAAGGTGGAGTGAGCATTCCTTGCTAGGATTTGTAGGAAGATGGGATTCTGTGACACTTTTATTTCTTGGATTCTAGCTTGTGTTTGTTCTGCCACTTACTCTTTCAATATTGATGGGGTGCCTTTGGGTTTTGTGCAACCTACTAGAGGGTTAAGGTAATGAGACCCTCTGTCTCCTTACCTTTTCATCTTGATTTTAGAAGCTTTTTCTAATTTGATGCACAATGCTTGTCTCCCTGGTCAGTATAAAGGTCTTAAAATAGGTCCTCATGCTCCAAATATTTCCCATCTTTTGTTTGCATATGATTAAATCTTGTTTTGCCAGGCAGATGTGCATCATGCAAATTTGATTCTTTCTATTTTGTTTAAGTATAGTCATGATTCTGGTCAGTTGGTTAATTTTGACAAATCATCTATATTTTTCTCTAAGAATATGCCAGAGAAATCATGTAGGGCCATTTGCTCTGTCTTAACTGGGATAGCTAGAGTGATCTAAGCCAAATATTGTTACCATTGGGTATTGACAGATCTAAGAAGGAGACTTTTAAGTTTGCGAGTGATTGTGTGCAAAACAGAATCAAGAATTGGAAAAATCAGTTTCTCAGTGAGAGTGGTAAAGAGACTTTGATTAAAGCAGTCCTTAATGCTCTTCCAACTTATATCATGTCTTGTTATAAAGTTCCCTTATCCATTGTTAAACAAATTTGCCATGATATTGTA